CGACACTCCCTCCTATCCCCCCCGCCCCCCCCCCCCCCCCGCCCCCTGTGTCTCATGCTGTTCCATTCGCTTCCTCTGCCGCTTCGCATAGATCGCCAGCAGATGCTCGATGAGTGATGTAGAGGCGCTGGCAGCGACGTGTACCACACTGCGGGACTTCTTTGCCGACGACTATCCCAACAAGGTCTTCTTCCGCAGTGCATGGCCCATGGCGTGGGCGGATGCCACAGCTGGGCGGAATGTGGCCCGTGGCGGGTGGCGCGCGGCCAGGAGAAGGAAGCGGCGCGAGGCTCATCGGGTGGAAACCGGACAGATCTCGGCTACCACCCATCAGTATGGAACGTATGCCGGGTGGCGCGGGCAAGGAAAGTATGCCATCTGGGCGCTGTCTGAGCCTGAGCGGATGGTGGTGGTGACACCGGCCAAGATCGTCCACCTTGTCCTCAAGTCGGGCGTGCTGCGGACCGGGAGCAAGATCAAGCCGCCGCAGGGCCTCACCCTGCGGCGATCGCATCTCGAGGCGGCCACACGGCGGCTAGTTGCCACCTCTGTCGAAACTCGCGAGGTCCTGGTCTACCGCCGCCGCGCCGCCGACCACTGGCACTCATACGGCATGGCCGGCCACTCGGCGCCGATCACTGGCCTCATGTCGTGCGACGGCGCGCTGCTCACCGCCTCTAACGGTGACTCGGCGGTCCGGCTCACCTCGATGGCGACCGGCAAGGAAGTGCGGGCGTTTAGCTTTGGAGGGGCCAAGGTTCGTGCCCATATCAGCACTGAGCACGGTCTGAACGTTCTTGCCGACGCAACCCTCATGCTCTACGACGTGCGCGCCCGCGAGGTCGCCGCCACGGCTGTCGGCCTCGACACCGCCCGACGCTTTGTCCGCTTTGGTGACACGATCTTTGTCGGTGGATCTGGTGCCAGCCAGCGGTTCGACGTCCGCAAGCTCAACACTCCTCTTGCCTCCAGCCCGCTGGCGCCTGTTCCCGCCGACGAGTACGGCACCGATGTGGCTAACATCAACCAGATGCGGCTCTTCAAGGATGTACTGGTCGTCCGCGACTCGCTCGGCCTGCTCCGGGTACTTGACGCGGCCTCTCTCACCGAGCTCTATGCGGTCCGCACGCTGCAGTATCACGACAAGGTCGACATCCAGCACTTTGACATCGACGCCCTCGGCCGCCTGCTGGTGGTCGACGGCACAGGCATCGTCGCCCACTTGGCCTTTGACGAGAGCGTCCGGTCCGGCAGCACGTCGGCGCCCGCCGCCACCTGGCCGTCTGCCAGCGACTCGAGCTGCACCCATCAGGCCTGGGCCATTCCGACCTCGGGCCGCCCGGTCCAACAGGTCTTCCAGCGCCTCGTCACAACTAGCTAAAGGCTTGGCTGTCGAGCCACGAGACGTGCGCGTGGAAAGCGGCCTTTCGTGCGGCGAGAACAGGTGCCAGGAAGGCCTCATCGCGGCGAGAGAGCCGCGGCCCGGCAAACGGCTGGCCACGGACACTGGTGCTGCCGTCGTCGCCGACGGCTGTCACCGTAACATGCGCGTCGCTGTCGTTGTCGTCGTCCGACGAATCGAGCGCAAACAACGGTCGCGCCCGCTGCCGTCGTCCTCTGCGCTGCCGCCGCGCGCGGACCCGTGCCCGCGCCCCGGGCTGCTTGATGCGATGGGTGAGTGCCGCCAAGCTCGCCACTCGCGCACTGTCCAGTCGCGACGACGCAAGCAGCCGAGCACTGAGTGCCGCCTCGACCTCGCTCTGCATGTGGCTCAGCCGCGAGTGACTCTCGCGCGACGACGCGCGCACATGTGCCATGCCCGGGACCTCGCCAGGCACATCGATTCGCGCTTTCGCTGCGAGACTCTCGCGTGCCGACATGATGCCGCGTGAGAGCCGCAGCGTCTCCAGCGGATCGTCGCCCGCAACGCCTGGTGGCGGCGTGGCCCGGGCAACCAGCTGCGGCCGCGGCGGCTTGTGGCAGCTCGGCGCCTTGACCGCGTCGGCTGAATCAAAGCTCCGGTTGAGCTCTTTCCCATTCTCACCAACACTGGTAATGTCGCCGTCCGCCACAACCGACGCCGCCGCCGCCACCTCTGCTGCCGTCGCGGTCATCGCCCTCCTCCTCACGCCGTGCTCCCCAGCGCGGCCCGATCCGCGCCGTTCAGCCTTGCCTCTGATCGATGCTCGCCTCATCCGCGGCGAGCCCCTTCCCGACGACGACGAGGCCCTGCCTGACGACGGCGAGCCCCTGCCCGACGAAGACGTCGGCGATCCCTGTCGGTCGCCAGCGGCTACAGCCCTCTTCCCGCGGCGATTGCTCCGAGCTGTCCGCAGCGAGTGAGCCCTTCCCAAAACGACTTCCCCTTCCAGATGGTGCGCACGCGAGCGGAGCAGATGGCGATCAGGCGAACCCCCTGGCGTATGGTGACCTCCAGCAGCAGTCTGTGGCGGGAGTGCTGTCCCGGCCACCTGCGCAGCTCGTCGGACAAGGCTGCCAGCGCCACGCCTGTCGTCCGACTGCAGGGACCGCTCAAGCTGGGAGACTGTGAGCATGCGAGTGAGTAGGGTAGTGGGGGGGGGGGGGGGGGGGTGAAGTGGTGTGGGGACGGAGCAGGTAGCTGTGAGCAGAGGCTGTGGGAGTGGTCGGCCATGGCACGGCCAGCACGGCACAGGGAGGGGGAGGGGAGGGGAGGGAGGTAGCGATGATGATATGGGGTGCAGATCCGTAGGATGGGAAAAAAACAGAAGCATGAGGGTATAGATATGGGTGCATGATCCAGATCATGGTCATTCACCAGATCCACATCCGCCACATCGACTGTCCATGGTGACCACCATTGAACGAGAGAAGCCAACGAGTGCTGCTCACCACCTCACGCACCCTCACCCTCACACACACACACACACACACACACACACACACACACACACACACACACACACATACACACACACACACACACTATGGCCGAACAGCGGGTGACATCCCTCTCGGAGAGCCTGCTCTCTTCCGACGGCATGTCGATGGCTCGTCGACGTAAGACGGCGGTGGCCCTGGCGGCCGCAGTGGCAGCAGCTGACGGTTCGACCCTCTCTCCGGCCTGTGTGGAGGCTGTGGCGGCGGCTGTGGCCCATACCCTCTGCATACTGCCTGTAGGCAATGGCGCTCGGTCATCAGCGGCGGCGGCGGCGGCTGATCTGGTGGAAGCTGTCGTCGATCTCCTCCCGCACCTCTTCTCCGCCCTCCCGCACCTGGAGCTCTCCCGCCGCAACTTCCTTCTCGACCAGATCGCCCTGGCCCTCTTGGCTGCCCTCGACACGCTGTCGTGGGCATCGTCATCGGCGGCGACTCCTGCGCCGCACGATCCGCAGCAGTCCCCACAAACAGACGCCGCTGGTGATGCCGATAGGCGCCACGGTCGCGACTCGGACGCCAAGCTCGCCCGTTCCCGCCGCGCCACCGTCTCGCCGCTCGATCGCATCGTCGCCGCCTTTGCCGACGGCATCCTCACCTCAGTCGCCGTCGCTTCCACCACTGCCCGGACCGCTCCACACACCTCTGGCACCACCCCACTGCTATCAAGCAGAGTCAAGCGCTCTCCTCGCCCCTCGCCGCGCGATGGCAGCGACGCATCGCCAGACGACATGCAGCTCTTCCCGCAGCCGGCCACGCCGCCCATGCGCAAGTGGCGCCGCGGCGTCGAGCAGTTTGCCACCTCACCTGCCCTTGAGAGCCTCAAGGAGCATCAAAGGGCTGAGCGTGAGCGCCGCTCTACCGCCTCCTCGCCATCCTCGCCGCCGTCGCCGTCGATCTTTGCCGACTCGCCTGCCAACTCGCGGAAGGTCGCGCTCAAGCGCAGGCGCAGGCGCAAGCGCAAGGCCTCGCGCCCCTCCACCGCTCGCCCGGGCACTCCATCGGTCACTGAGACCTCAGCCTCGGGCAGCTACACCTACACCTATGACAGCTCGTTGGCGTCGCCATCGTCGTCGTTGTCGTCGTCGCGCGATGGTGTAGACTCGTGCTCCGGTTCGGACTCGCCCGCTGTCGAAGTCACCGCCGTCGCCGGCGCGGCCGTCTTTGGTATGTACACTCCCGACGCCGCCGCCTATCGCTTTGGCTCGGACCTCGGCTTTGCCTCGGCCCTTTTGGTCTTTGTGCTCGAGGCTCGTGCAGCGCTCGGTCCGTCGGGCGGCTCGGCGCAGCGCCTCTCGTCACTGGTCCACATGGTTGAGGCCCGCCAGCCGGCTCTCCATCTCCATCTGCTGCACATCATTGCCTCGCTCCCGCCAGACTCGGAGCTGCTCAACATGGCCGCCAACCTCATCTTCCACTTTTACCCGCCCGAGTTTGGTGCCGCCGACGCCCGCCCGCTCACCTCGGCCCGCGGCGTCACCCTCCCGCCGCCTTTTGAGGCCTCGCTCGAGTCGGCCGTTCTCCGCGCCGGTGTGGCCGCCCTCCTCGGTGCCGCCTCGTTTGAAGCCAACGAGGCCGGAATGGTCCTCCTCACCCGCTGGTGCGTGCCCAACGAGCTCGCCGCCTCGGCGCCCTGGACCCTCCGCGAGCTTGTCGACGGCATGCTTGCCTGGTTTGACAACGGCAACTCGGCCGCCGCAGCTGCCTCGGACGAAGCACAGCACGCACGCCGCCAGCTCGAGTCGTCGTACATCCTTCCCTGGATCGAGCACGTCGCAGAACTCGCCACGACTGCGGGTACCCGTGTCGGCCTCCGCATCCTCGTCGAGGCACTGCAGCCCGGCGAGTGGGCCGCCGCCGGCGCAGACGCCCCCAACCCGACCCTTATTGCTGGCGCCCTTGCGCGCATGGCCGCCCTTGTCAACCTCGCATCGCCCGTTGTCATGCACGTGCTCCTCGAAGAGGCTCTTCCGGGCTGGCTCGACGTCCTCGCCGCCCGTCCGCTCCACCCGGCCTGGTCCGGCGCACTCGTTGCGGTCTTCAAGGCCTTTCATCGCATCGTCGCCCTCCGCGCCGGGGGCACCTCGCCCATGTTTGCCGCCGACCACGAGTCGTCGTCGATGGTGGTCCTCGTCTCGTCGACGCTCGTCGACAACCCACCGCGCGCCCTCTCGTGGCTCGCCCTGCTCTCTTCCGCAGGCGTCCTCCTCTCGGTCCGCGTCTTTCTCTCGGGCCTCGAGCATCTCGCTTGCGAGCGCGCGCGCAAGCGTCGCTCGCTCGCCGAACTTGTCGAGTGCGCCGACCTCCTTCTTGCTCAAGTCGACCTCGGCGCCCAGTTTACCTACCGCGAGCTCGAGCCGGCTCTCGAGCTCGCCATGGACCTCAGCCTCACTGGCACCGAGCTCGCTTCGCGCGTCGGTGTCCGCTTTGTCACCGTCTTCTCCACCCTCGTCCGCTACACGCTCGGCGCCAAGATCCGCTCGCAGCGCCGCGCCGGCTTTGTCGCCCGCGCCCCGCTGGAGATGGTCCGCCTCGAAGCCGGTGCGCCGCTCATCCACTGGCTTTACATGCTGCTGCAGACCTCCGGGTCGTGTGGTCTTGCCGGCGCAGGCGTTGAGACCATGCACGCCATTCTCATCGAGCCCAACTACGTGTCCAACAAGGACGAGCTCGTCGGCCTCCTGCAGGCCACCCTGCTTCCGGCACTCTGGCGTCTGCTCGACGTCAAGTACGACTCGGTCTCCGCCTACACTTACGCCCTCCTGCAAACCCTTATCGCCTTTGAGCCGCTGCGCTTTGACGAGCTGCTCGAGTCGGCCTTTTCCGCGCCGCAGTGGTTCATGCGCTACGACGCCGTCGAAAAGGCCTTTGGCCTCTTCTCCAAGCTCAAGCTCGGGACAGAGGCGCTCGCCGCCTTTGGCGCCGCCTTCTCACGCCTGCTTGACGCCGAGCTCGATCCGTTTGTCCAGGTCCGGACGAAAGCCTATCTTGAGCTCTCCAGCCTCGACCACGACCAGCGCGTCCGCGCCCTCTCCTGCCTCACCGCTCTCTATAACGAGTCCAACGTCTGGATTCAGACCCGCCTTCTCGGTCAGCTCGTCCGCTTTCGCCGCGACTTTGGCTCGTACCAGATCCTGCCTTGGGTCACCGTCCTCCAGGGCCTCTCCACCCCGCTCATCAACCTCGAAGGTCCCGAGCGCGCCGCCGTCCTCGCCCACAAGTCTCTCCTCATCGAGGCCGCCTTCGAAATGGCCGCCGCCCAGGTGCCCATGGATGACGGCACCCGCCTCAAGCTCTATGCCCTCGTCGCATCACCGCTCGCTTCCCGTGACACCGAGACCGGCTCCGAGTACCTTGTCGTCATGGTCGAGCGGCTCATGCACCTGCTCGACGTCAACCTCGAGGTAGGCCGCCAGTTTTGCGGCCTTGTCTATGCTGTTGCCGATCGCGTCTTTGCTCCCGGCCGCGCCCGCGTATCCTCCGTCGTCACCGCCGGCGTTGTCAAGCTCCTCCTGGTCACCCTCTTCAAGTACGCCTCGGCAGACGACGGCGCAGGCTATGGCGACCTTGTCCTTGCCCTCCGCCTCGTCTTTCGCGGCGTCGAACACGCTGGTGCTGCCGTCATGGAACTCGCCGCCCTCGTTGCCCTCACCGTCCTCCGCACCATGCCGGCCGTCTCGGTCCAGCTCCTCTACGAGCAGTTTGCCTTTATGGCTGGCATGATCGCTCAGGGAGTCGTCTGCTCCGGCCCGCGCCTCGTCGCCTACGCTTACTTTTACCTCGAGCAGGCCCTTGTCACCTTTGCAGACGCCGGCTACTACGTCATCCTCTTCTCGTCGCAGGCCAGCCGGTCCGGGCCCGACGCCCTCTCGCGCGAGGTCATGTTCTACACCCTCGCCACCGTTCTCCGCGAAGGCGCCCGTCGCGGCCTCCCAGTCTCACTCGAGCAGCCCGTCATCGACGTCGCCCGCCGCCTCTTCTCCGTCCCTGTCGACATCGAGCTCTACGGTAAGATCCTCGCCACCGCGACTGCCTACGCATTGCACGTCCTCGGTCGCTCATACCCTGTCTCGCTCGACCTACTCGCCGCCATCCTCAAGTTTTGCAAGGAGTGGCCCGGCTGGGAAGACTCATCCGGCCTTGTCGGGAACGACGCGGCCCGATCCGGCCTCCGCGTCGCCCTCGAGCACGTCGTCGCCCTCGTCGCTTGGGCTCTCGCTGCCCCGTCCGACTCTGCCGACGAGGGCTCAAGTCGCGCCGCCAAGCGCGCAAAGCGCTTGGCCGAACTGAGTAAGATTGCTGTCTCGCTCGTCGAGGACCGCCTCGACCTCTTGTCCATCGGCGCTGTCGTTCGCCTTGGTCTCGCTGCAGGCCGTGGCTCCGAGTGGCGTCTCCGCGTTGCCTCGGCGAGCCTGCCACGCATCCAGGCCCGCGCCCGCGCCGCGCTGGCAGACTCGGATGACGCCTCGTGCGCCTGGCGCGAGGTCCGTGCCGTTGTCAAGGTACTTGCCGCTGCTAACGGTCGTGGCCTGCTCGAGGCAGCAGTCTGGCTCGGCAATTGGGGCTGGGCCGACCTTGTCCGCGCCTTTGGCGTCGCCCACGTCGCCGCCCTCGCCTCGGCTGTCGCCCAAGCCGCTGACGCCGGCAGCAGTGCCCGCTCGCGCCCGTGGCTCCACGCTGTGGGGCGGACCAAAATCGACAGCTCGCTGGCTCGCGGCCTATCCTTTGTCGCCCTTGGTGCCATTGCCGTCCAAGACCCGGCCCTCGCCGCCCGCCTCAGCCTCCACCTCTCGGAGCTGGTCGGCGACGCCGTCGACGCCGTCGCCGACGCCGCAGCCGCACTCGCCACCGAAGAACCAGGCCTCGCCGCCGACACCGCCTTTGACGCCGACGTCGTTGTCGCCGCCGTCACCGACCTCGCTGCCGTCGCTGGAAGTGCCATAGCGGTGGGTGCCTGTTCGCGCCCTGTCGATCGCGTCGCGCTCCGTGCCCGTGTCGACGCCGCCGCCGCTGCCTGCGCCACAGGTGGCCTCGCCGCCTTTGGCCGCTACGCCTGGCTCGAGGTCTCCGACAGCCTCGGCATCCGGCTCGGGTCCGCCTGGGGCCACGACGCTGGAACCTCAGCGCTTGACTCGGTGTGCGCCAAGCTCTCAGCCCGGCTCTCGCTCGCCTCCCGCCCGCCGACCCAGCACGCGCTCAGCGTCGAAGGTCTCCTCAAGCGACTCATCCGCCTCGACAAGTACGCTGCCAAGCACATCGCCTGGCTCACGTCGTAGCGCCTTGTGCCTTGCCCCCTCGCCGCACCATCCATACCACATTGCGCGGCAGCGTCGGCACAAACATCAAGACACTGGCCGTCGCCGGAAGGCCGGCCGCCGGCCCGGACACTCCAGCCAGCCACGCCGTGCCGCACACTGCCGCACACACCGCGATCGCCGCCGCCCGGGCCCGTGAGACGGAAACTGTAAACAGCACCATCGCTACTGCCGCCGCCGCCATGCATGCTCCAATATACCTACTGGTGAGCGGCGAGTGTGCCGGCACTGCCGCCGCCGTCGGCGCGATGAGTGTACCCACGCACGCCAGCCCTGCGGCGGCGGCGGCGTACCCGACCACTGCCGCCATTGCGGTTGCCGAGCCCGACAGCATGACCGTCACCAGCGCGATGGCTGTACTCACGCCAATCATCAGTCCGCTCGCCACCCACCGCGCCTTCACCGAGGCCTGCATGGCGTCCAGTGCCGGTGAGGCGACCACGAGCGCGTAGCTTTGATAGAGGAGGCCAGCCCAGAACACAGCGGCCACCGCCTGCCCGAGCGACAGGCCGCGGACCTGTTGAGGCCCGCCGCCGGCAAGCCCAGTGCGACGCGGCGGCGGGAGCATGCCCAGCAGCGGCGCACTCGCCGCCGCACCCAGTGGGACGAGCCAGTCGAGGGCGGCTACAAGCTGGTCGAGGCTGCTGCTGCCGGTGCTCTCGGCCTCGGCGGCGGAGCCCACCAAGTACGCCTGCCACAGCAGCAAGCTCACAGTAAAGCGGACAGTCCGTGCTGGTGAGGCAAACAGCGCAGGCGCGGTTGTCTGATGCGGCGGAGGCGCAGCGAGGGTCGCCACGCACACAGCGGCTGCGCAGGCAAGACTGGCGCCATCGATCCGGGCCGCCGCCTCGCCGGTGGCCATGACCCCGGCAGCGGCTAGCAGCAGCGTCAGCCACCCATTCCACTCGGGTACTCCGTCGATTAGCACTTCGCCTCTGCTTCGCCTGTCCTCGTCTTGGCCGTCGATGGCGGCGTGGCGCGGCAGCTCTGCTCGTCGCCTCAGTCGTGTCAGGGGTCGCCGGCTCACAGCTGCTGTTACCACCGCCATCATGCATGCCGCTAGCGAGCAGATGGCTCCGGCCTCGTCCAGAGCCCGCGCGATGTTTGTCGAGTGCGAGGCAGCCAGTCGCGGTAGTCCAATCAACGCCGCGCCGAGAAGGCCGAGTGTGGTTTGCATCAGGAATTACGTGCGGGAGAGAGCGGTGGTAGCCGGATACACACACACACGAGGGAGGGGGGGGGGGGGGGGGGGGGGAGGGGGGACGACGAGTAGATTCCGTATGTTGACCTTGTTAGTTATTGAGGGGCGGCGGGGGGGACGACATGGCAGAATGCCAGTTTATGGTCGCCTAAGCCATCTCGACGCCCGACTCGGAGCCGCCCGATTTGTCGCAATGAGCCGAGACGGCATCAGAATCGGCGTCCGCTGCTGCACTTGGGCCACTCCCGCTACCGCTCTCGCTGTGCGGGCCGCTGCTGCGGCTGCGGCTACGAGAACGCTTGGTGTGTGCCGGCTCGATGGCGGCACTGTTCCGGCCAACTCCGCCTCCGTTGCCACCGTACGCCACATGGACGGCATTCCAATGGAACGCAAAGTAGAAGAGGAGCGCGAGCGCCGGCTCGACCACGATGAACGATGTAAAGACCGACATTCCGTAGAGCGTGGCCATGGCGCCCATGTTGACGTCGAACCCGTCAAGCCACATCGGGACAATCGTGATGATGGCGTTGACACAGGCGAGGATAAAGAGCGAAATGCATCCAATGATCAGCGCTGCACTCTTGCTCACCGCCGTCGACGACGACTGGAGCAGCTTCTTGATGAACGGCAGGCCAAAGACAAACGCCACACCATGCGAGAGGAGCGAGACGAGGAGCATCTGCAAGACTCGATTGACGTCGATCGTGCTCGCGTCAGAGTCAAACGCCTCTGGGTTGAGGAACGGCATGATGGCCACCGTCGTGTACACGATGAACAACTTGAACGCCCCGCACAGCGCACGGCCCTGTCGCGAGAAGACCGCAGCCTCGGCCTCGCTCACCACAAACGCGCCAAAGAGCGAGTGGCTGTGGAGCAGAAACTGGTCGACATCGAGCCCCAGCCACTCGTCCGGCGTCCGGCGATATTTGGACGCAGCCCGGCGCCGGGTCGTGCTCATGAACATAACGGTGGCAATGACAAGAACGACCAGTGCATACACAAAGGCCATGCCCGGAGAGGACGCCGCAGAGTCGGACGAGAGCACGCTTGCCGCCGAATCCTTGGTCTCGCCCAATGCGGGCGGAGGCGGCGGCGATGGGAGCGCAGCCTCGGGCGGCGGCGGCGGTGGTGGCGGCGACGGCGGCGGTGGCGGCGACGGTGGCGGCGGCGGTGGCGGTGGTGGAGCGATGGTATGCACCTTTGTCCAAAGCACTGGCGTGTTTTGTGACCTGAAGAAGAGCAAGTCTCGCACACCGTCACCGTCGAGATCTGCAAGCGTTAGCATGTGCCCGTGGCTCGGGACAGAGTCGACAATCCGCGGCACGCCAAAGGTGCCGTTGGCAAACGGCGTCACCACAATCGGGTAGTGCGTGCGGACCACACCGCCCGTCGAGTGGACCACCATCCGCCCTCCATAACCGTACTCGCCGGCCGTCGTCACTTCAAAGGCGTACGGAGAGTAATTGACCGACGATGATGCCGAAATGACCGGCCCGAAGCTCCCAGCTGTCGGCGTGGCAAGCATCGTCTGGACCGAGGCACCGCCACCGGATGCCACCCACACCACATCCAGGAGTCCGTCCATGTCCATGTCCTCGATTCGGATAAAGGTCGGGACCTGCGGAGCGACAATAGCAATGTGGACAGAGGTAAAGTTGTACAGCGGCGGCCCGGTCCCGGCCATCACCACCACCCGCTCTGAGCCCGTCATGCGATCAGAGTAGGCCACGTCAGCGAGTCCGTCGCGAGTCACATCCCCGACAGCCGCGTACTTGAAGGTCGTGTCGCCATGCAGCAGCGGCATGTCCGGCCCGCTCCACACCGGCGCAGCCGAGCTTCCGATGTTGACAACAACGCCAAAGCCCTGCGGCTCGCAACCGTACACCACGTCGTTGTCGCCGTCCGACTCGAGATCGATGCACCATGCGAAAATGGCGTCGCACTTGCTCGGAAGTGTCACGTTGGAGAACTCTCCCGAGAGACCGTTGAGGTCATTGACCATGATGACAACACGCTTGACGCCGCCGGTCTCAACTGCAACAACAATGTCAACGTCGCCGTCGGCATCAATGTCGCACGTCTCACCAAAGTTGGATTCGCTCCACTGCTGGGGAACGGTACCGCGCGAGAAGAAAGTGCCCGAGCCGGCGCTGTCTGCCAGCGCCAAGTAGCCCGGGTGGCCAAGCATCGCCACGTCCTGGTTGCCGTCGCCGTTAAAGTCAGCAATAGCAACGTCGGCCGCAACTGTCGACGTGGCCACTGCCGCTGGTCCGATGAACCGCAGCGTGGTCGAGCTCAGCAGCGGCTGACTTATCGGCGCCCCGGGGTAACTTGTCATGCCCCGGCTGGCGGCCGGGGCGCCAGCCGGCACCAGCATCAGAACAGGCTTGGAGCCGCCGTAAATGTTGTCAACAAAAGCCACAGGCGCGCGCCCAGGCCCTGTGACAACCGAGATTCGAAGAGCGTAGAAAAAGGAACTGGAAGACTCGGTGAGGTAGCCCGGAAACAGGGCGTAGCTCGGTGCAAAGGTGCCATCACCGTTGTTGAGGAAGAGCGAGATGGCGTTCCGCGACCCGGAACGGTCGAGGCAAATGATGTCAACATCGCCGTCGGAGTCCCAGTCGAGTGAGCCGAGGTTGCGACAACTGTCGTCCTCGATCTTGTAGCGGGAATGTGGTCCGGCTTGTATGATGTCGTCCAGTCCACTCGCGGCCGCGCCGCGCCCGAACCGAACCTCAACAGTGCCGCCGACAACGTCGAGTACTCCGTCGCCGTTAAAATCGGCAACAGAGATACCGCTCCCGTAGTTTTCACCCGGTAGCGCTGTTCCGTTGTCAAAGCTTCCGCAGTGTCCACGCATCCACATGCCTCCGCCATATCCACTTGCAAGGGTAGCAGCAACAATGTCGAGGCAGCCATCGGCGTTGAGGTCGACAACCAGGCCTTGCTCGAGGCCATTGCTGCCCACGCCCCGCATGTCAAAAATGATGGTAGGGCTGCTCATGCCCCAGGTGCTTGTCCCGGAAAACAGCAGGACAACCGGAATGTGGCGGCCTGAGGCAACGGCGTCGGCGAGATTGTCGTTGTTAAAGTCGGTGACCAACAACATGCTAAATCGTGCAGGCGAGTAGACCGACATGTCCGTTGTCGTGTGGACGGGAGTGATAGTGTCAAAGTCAAAGTAGCCGCCGACGCCGTCGCGAACCTGTGAGGCCACCACAGAAATGTACGGCGTGTCGACTGCAGCCGCAATGTACATGTCCGGGTAGCCATCCTGGTTTCCGTCGTAAAACTTGATGAGGTCGATGCCATCGCCGGGGGCAGTGCCGTACACCGAGCCAAACTCGGCCACCATGTCGGAGCCACCGGCTGGTGAGGTCCCGATGTTGCGCATCACCTCGGGCATGCCTACGCCGTCGTCCCTGCACCAGATCATGTCGTCATCGCCGTCGTTGTCGAGGTCAGCGACTTGAATGATATGGGCCTTGACGCGCTGGCTGGCAGCCACAACAAGGTCGCGCGAGGAGATGACCGCGCCGTCAGCGCCGCTGACGCCGGGTGCCATCGGCATGTACGCCGGCTGGTACGTGATCGTTCCAATGGGATCCTCGACTGCCACATACCCCGGGCTGGCCACGCATGTCGCGTGAGTGTACCACGCCGACGGGTCTGGGAGGCAGAACGAGTTCGCCGGGCACGACGCCGGTGAGCTCGATGCGGCCCGGGCGGCGTCAAACTGGCACGCCGAGCCCGAAATGCAAATTGGAAGGGCCACCACACCGCCCGGCGCAGCGTGAACGCAGCCGTTTCCGACAATCGTCGCATTTTGCAAGGCAAGGGGAGGGCAGTCGCCCCCCGACGAGAAACAGCGGCAGGCGACAATGCGGCTGCCGGCCGGGCAAGACCACGACGAAGCCGTCGTTTGAGGACTTGTGTGGCTTCGCCAGATGGTAGCGCCAGTTCCACGCTCGGTAGCGTTGTAGCAATACGCCAGCGCATACTGGAGAGTCGCCGACGTTGCGACGAGCCTGCAAGTACCCACCGTCTCTGCATGGAAAGCACCCAAAAAGGCCTCATTGCCATCGGGCGTTAGCGAGCCCGAGGTGGTGGTAGCGAGGCAATCAAAGACAGCCAGACCATCCGGACATGAGACATCGACCGTGCCACCACTGGTCGACGACGACTGATACACATCAACGTCAAAGGTGCCAAAAGTGGCGGGAGAGGTCACAGACACCCTGCCGTTGTAGGTGCCCGGCGAGGCGGCGCCGACGAATGGGTGGGAGGAAGCGAGTGCGAGTGCGAGTGCGAGTGCAAGAGTAAGGAGCAAGGTCATGGCGAGGGTGGGTATGTCGGTGGGGAATGATGAGGGGATGGGGCGGGGGGCGAGAGGGCGGGGGGGGGGGGGGGGGGGGGAGGGGGGAGGGAGGGAGGGAGGGAGGGAGGGAGGGAGGGAGGAGGTAGTAGTTAAGT